ATAAGGGACAGACCGTCTTTGTTTAATCATTTATAACGTGATGAATAAAAAGAGGCGCTGCAAAGGAGCGGCTGCCTCTGCTCATAACTTATAACATAGCTGCAGTAGCAGCCATCGTATTTTGAGCCGCGGTGGCGGGCTAGTCGACCTACCTCTTCGACCAAAAACCTGCCTCCTTTTCTTCAAACTAACCCCTTTCCTTAGATCCCTAATCAAGGCCACAAAACCGGCGGCCAGAGTCAGCTTGATCCGCCCCGACTATAGAAGATATTATTTCGACGCCCCCAGGGTGTAAGCAGGAGCCAAGCCCTTGCTCTGTAGATAATCCCTAACAAGCCGAAAGCACCGGACTGACTCAGGCCGCCGGCGCCAGCATATTGTGGCCACAAATATTCTCCTCGACACCCGGTACACTCCTTTTACCAGTTCTGCTCGTATGGCTTTGTGAAGAGGACGAATATGTTTTGTACACTTTTGAGAAGACAGTTTTTAAACGCAACAGGTGAACAGCGAACACCCCGTTTGAAACCCCGTATCGTTTGCATGAGCTGAGAAGAGTGGGCTAAGAAAATAAACCACACAAGAAAAACACAGAACAAAACACAATCAAACGACGACACCCAATTCACACGTGCAAATGTTGTAGCGACTTGGCGACCTACGTTCACTATGTTGACTTAACTTTGAGAGGCATCGTGGTTGCGCTGGGCGTCACAGCTCCTCCACTTTTGGCACGAAGCTGACCGCCATGTGGGCGCCGATGATGCTGTCGTCTCTAGCCGCCGCCCAGGGCCGCGCCTTCGTCGGCGTCCTCAGGGCCGTCCACGGCACGGCGGCGCAATTCGTCTCCCCCGACAAGCAGCTGGCCGCCGACCGGAGGGAGCTGCTCGCCTTCTTCCCCACCCTCGTCGAGGACGTCAAGGCCGACTCGCAAGTCGTCGGCATACCGTCCGAGACGGAGTGGATCGGCAAAGTGAGGACGACGTCGGTATTCATGTTTTACTCATTGAGTTGGATACGTTCCGCTGACCTCCAAACCACGTGAAATTGTCCTCAGGTGCTGCACTACGTGGTGCCGCGGGGCCGCCTGTTCCGCGGCTGCAGCGCGCTCAACGCCTGCCGCGAGCTGCTCCCGCCGGACCGCGCCGCGCTGGGCAGGCCGCTGGGCCTCGCCTTCGAGATGGTGAGCGGCCCGGGCGTACCCTAATCACCGCCTCCCTCACGCCCCTCTCGATGCTTACAATCCTGGTGCGTCCGAGTAGCTGCAGGGCTACGTCGTCATCATCGACGACCTGGTCGACGCCGCCGAGCTGCGGAGGGGGCTGCCCGCCTGGCACACGCTGCCGGGCGTTGGCGTGCACGCCGTCAACGACGCTTTCCTAGTTCACACGGCGATGAACAAGGTGCTGCACCGCTACTTCCACACAGAGCCGAGCTACGTCCGCCTGTTCGAACTCTTCAACGAGGTGAGAGCGGTGGGTGCGAGGGTCGGAACCCCGGGCCCGGGTCCGCGACATTGCAGTTACACAGAGTGCAGCACAATCTGGGCACTTCGCAGGCGATCTTCTATGGTATCATAGCCCAGAACTACGAGTGCCACAACGGCTGCACCGGCGAGGGGAGGTTCGACGCCTTCGACCACGCGATGCACGCGGCGCAGGCTCGCTTCAAGATCGCGCACTACAGCTTCTACAGCCCGCTGGCCGCGGCCATGCACCTGGCCGGCCTCTCGGACAGCGGGCGCCACGGGGCGCTCTGGGGGGTGGCCCAGGACATCGGGATGCTCTTCACCGTGCAGGTGAGCTTGGGCGCGCGAAGGTTGTCGACAGCCACCTACCTCTACTCACATACATTTTCCCGTCCAGGACGACTACAGCGACTGCTACGAGCCCGAGTCGCTGTCGGGGAAGACCCGGTGCGACATCCGCAACGGCAAATGCACCTGGCTGGTGGTGGAGGCCAAACGGCGCGCCAACGACAAGCAACGCGCCCTGCTGAAGGTGAGCGGGAGCGCCTGGGGGGCAGGCCGCCGAAGGGGTCGCGCACACGGGTGCCGAGCCGTACGGCCTACCATCGCAGGCGCCCACCTCAGAGGGGCTCTCTTAATCCCGCGACGAAACCCCGACAGGAGAACTACGGTGTCGACGACGCCGAGAAGGTGGCGGCCGTGATGGAGCTGTACGCAGAGCTGGGCATGGAGCAGGCCATCCAGGACTGGATGCGCAGTGAGTACTCCAGGATCAGCGAGGTCATCCGGAGGCAGCGCGACCTGCCGCCCGACGCGCTGCACTACATCCTGGACGCCATCCGGCAGCCGCTGCTGCGGGTGGAGGAACCGTTACCGTAACACTAAGGGAGTACGCTGCAGACTGTGGTAGTAAATTGTTAATTTTTTTTCCAAAATGTTTTGCAACCTTGAATAAAGTTTTTGTCAGATTTTGTTCCACGAAGCTGAGATATTCGTAGTACTCGGGCTCACCGTGACCATACGAAGGCCAATGTCGGGTGCCGTTGTGACGTGTCCATGCGGTGGCGTGCCGTGCATGGCCGGCGTGAGGGCATCAAACGTGCAAAGAAAGTGTACAACGGGTGTCTACAAACAAGGTCGCGTCCGAGCGGCCCGCACGTTTTGTTTTCGGGGTGCACGTCAGCCGGCGACGCCATCCTCGCGAACGCGGCCCGCGGCCGTCACGACCACCCCCCGCCATGACGATGCACCGTCACGGCGGCGTCCGCCTTCTTAAGGGCACCGAGGACGGCGGAGGGCACAACGACTCCACCCGGTCTAGCAACATGTCCCGCCTTGCAGTCTTCGCTCTCCTCGCCGCTGTCGCCGCGGTAAGGGGTCGTGCACTTTCTACGCTCCCAAGAGGACCAGGACGGTTGTTTGGAGTCCATAGGGACTCCATGATATTGTCACTCTGGGGTGCCCCCGGGACCCCGTAATATTTTAACCCTCGGTTAAAATGTCACGGGGTTCCTATGGACTCTCAAAACCGTCCTGATCCTTTTGCGACCTCATGATTTTTTGTTCCTCTCCCGTAAAGTCATGTGGTATGTTTGTGCTACCCCCAACCGCGTCCTTGTTGTGCCCACAGTGCGCCGTCGCTGGCCCACCACCGCGTCCCCAAGGCCACGGACCCCACGGCCCCCCAGCACACCACGGCCTGCGCGCCTGGCTGCACGCCAAGGAGGCCCAGCTCCACCAGTGGGGCCACGCCGAGAAGGCCAAGCTGAAGGTATGAGACGCGCCAGGTCCGGGCGGAGGGTCAGAACAAACGCCAGTCATGTGGCATTTAATTCTCTCTCCGCGACAGAACGCCTGGAGGCAGAAGGTCGTCCCCCACATCGTCCAGCTGGAGAGGAAGCTTGGCGCCGAGTGGCAGAAGAAGGCCCCCCAGGTCGCCGCTCTCCTAAAGCAGAAGGCCGGCGCCGCCTTCGACAAGGCCGTCAAATTCGTCTCCCAGCAGGTCAATAAGAAGCTCCAGGGTTGAGGTTGAGAGAGCACCCCAAGCAAGCACGACCACGAAAATATATAAAGACTACTAACCATATTCAACAGACACATTATTAACTGTAGTCATTCAGCAATCGGCTTTTATTACCACGACATTTAAAGTCACGCATGCATGTGCACATGAACAACAAATGACGTGCACTCCTTAGAAAGTGCAGTCAGGTGGAACACCAAGAAAACAGACAGAAAACACGGTCTCATCAAAATGATGTCAAGTAATGTCAGTATCCAAATTTGGTCATTTTGGCGGTCTGATTGGATATCAGTTTGACTTTAAGCGATGTCGTAAGATTGTAATTTATAATTGCAATCACGGAGATATTCAGCCAGCACATACAAGGAATACAATATAGTTCCGTTAGCTCCTCGCATAATATTTTCGGTCTACGCATGGGATTCCTTTACTCCAGGAGACACGAGATGTGCTAAAGCGTGTTCCAGTTTCAGACATGTCTGCCCTCTTGTTATGGATAGCATTGCAATGCGCAATTGGAGCTTTTTGGACAGTAATTTCAGAAAAAAAAATCGGGAAAGGTTGTGGATAGAAAACGGTCTGAAGGTGCGATTGCGGCGCTCAAGGAAGTGGTAGTCCATCCATCGGCAAGGGTTTTCGCGTTGGGTTAAGCGTCGAATTAAAATAATTACACGCAAAGACGGACATAATATTCCAGACGCCGTCTAATTATTCTAGCCCATGCAGACCGCGATGTGTGAGGTGGCCCTGGCCGCCGACATGACCCCCTTGCCGGCCACGCAGACGCCGAAGGGCCCGGCCCCTCCGAGGGCGGAGGGCACGCAGCCCAGCAGGGCGCCGCCCACGGCGTGGGGGAGCCTGGGGAGCTGCTGCTTGACGCACCGCTCCAGCTTGAGGAGCTTGGGGGCCTTGAGGTTGATGTGGATGTGGATGTGCGGGTGGGGGATGTGGATGTGGAACTTGGGATCCGGCTGCGGCTCCGGCTGCGGCTCCGGCTGCGGCTCCGGCATGGGCAGAGCCACCTGCGGGTGGAAACCAGAGTCAATGCCTTGCGCCTCACATTTTTTGAAAAAAAACAAAAACAAAAACAAAAAATACAACAGCAACTTTTCTTTTTAAATAAATATGCCCCCGTTAAACCAAACCAAAATGTGTGGTATGACTTTGTAGAAAAGAAAGTCCTCAATCCCCCAGTACCAGGAGGCCGACTCACGCCACGCACTTTCGTAGTTATACCGTACCGCATCCGCGGATGTGGTGGGCCGGCTTGCCTGCCTCGCTTCCCGCGGGTCCTTAACGGCCCCGTGCGAGTAGGCATCCCGCCTACACCCGTGCATGCGGTACGAAAGTGCACGCGGCGTGTGAGTAAGCTACCTGGCACATTGCGCTTGTTTTGTGTAGATAATGGTCTCACTACAAGCGCAACTTGATCAAGACAATCAAGAACACGATAAAATGTAAGAAAATCAAGAACACATTTTTTTCGGGGTGCAGAAGAAGTGCGTAGCCAGCCTGGCTCCCTCCCCGTCCACCACGCCTGTCCGCACTAAACCTCCGTCGTTTCCCCCGCCGTCGGCCTGGAATGTTAAGGCAGTGAGTTGGTTACGGGTCACATTGCACGGCAGCGTACAGCCGAGGCGGCGAGCGCCGCCAGCGCGCCCAGCACGAGGAGGGTGGTCGGGGTCCTGGCCATGGCGACAGTAAGGCCATGCCAGCGCGTCGGATGGACTTTATATTCGCGATGTCGTGCAGCAGCGCAGCGCGGGCCGCACTCACGCGCCCACGACTTTCGCCCACTTGCGCATTATTGCTATTCGCGCACGCATTCGTTTGACGTATACTCACGGACATTTATCGTCGTTTGTTGCAAACGTGTGCTTGTATCTTTCAGCAGAATACAAAGACCTGTTCAGTCGCTGACAACTTTTGCAATTTTTTTTGTAGAGTTGCCCATCTTGTTTTCTCTGCTGGAAACGGAGACAGAAATTTGCTTGTTGGAGATCGATGCATTTCGCAAAAACAAGCCCACCAGCCCCCCCCCCCCCCCCTACACACACACACACACACACTTCAGGAGGGCCGGCTCTGTGCTATAGAAAATTAGTAGGGGGACTTTATTATGCTCTGGTAGAGACAGTCTTTAGGGGACTTTCTGAAAATGCCCCGAAGACAGAAGTTTGGCAAGCAGGACTACTATGGGTGCTGCCAAGATAAATTATCGATATTGCCCAGCAACCGTGCTTTTGCCCCTTGTGCAACCACAAGAGTGGCGTGGGAGAGAGAGACAGAGAGAAGAGAGACAGAGGGAGACAGAGAGTGGGGGTTGACGAGTGCTAGATGACAATCAAGGACCACTAATTGACCGCCAGGTTTACGTTATCAGTGGATTCGCGTGAAGACGCCGCCGTATAAACGGCCACTGATTGCAGGCCACGTCCTCAGTGCAACTCGCCCTTCAACATGCGGGCTGTGCTGGTGTTCTCCGTCGTCGTCGCCGCCCTGGTAAGCCACAACACCCGGTGTAGCAGGGGACTTGTACCGACTATCCCCCGGTTAGATCCGAAAGTGGGACATTAGTACCCCCCACTCGACTCCCTAGGGTACAAATGCCGTATGGGATTTTTACCGGGGGGGTATAAATCCCCGGAGAATTAGATACCACCCTACCCGCATACCGAGAGGTTCTAAACCTCAAATTAAACCAGGGGATTAATCCCCGGAAAATTTCATACCCCCTACCCGTATACACTGCAGGGTATTAATACAACGGAAAATTGTTATACCTGCCTTATTTGGTATACTGGGGGGTATAAATCCCCAGAAAGTTTTACACCGCCCATACTGGTAAAGAAGGGGATCGTCCACAAATTTCGCCTACTTTTCAGACCGTCAAATACTTTTCTCATGCCCCCTTAACTGGAGTCTAGGTTGATGGCAAGCTTTTAGACGCTATTCTTCAAGTCGTCAGTGGGAAAAATGTTATCTCTGTATGGTAACTAATAAGTTCTAATTATATATTCTGTGCCATAATCCTATGAGGGGAATACCCGAAGCATGCATTAAAACCCCCTAAAATTACTTAATTTGCGCGCGTCTCGTCTTCGTCCCTACCTCAATCACCCCACTATTGTCCTTTTCGCTCCACAGATGGGCGCGGCCTCCGCCGATATGATCGACCCCGAGATCGTGGGTGGAGACGAGGCCTCCCCGGGGCAGTTCCCCTGGCAGGCGGGCCTGAGGGTCAACGTGCTCAAGGACGGCGTGGCGAAGGCCGCCTTCTGCGGGGCATCCCTCATCGCCGAGGACTGGGTGGTGACCGCCGCCCACTGCGCCGACCCCCCGTGAGTACCGAGCGTGTTAAGGGCTCATCCAACCAGGAGCGCAAAAAAACCCTGCCGCCCGGCCTGGCTGCTCCCTGTTTAGTGGCGACAACCGCCTGACAGGTGAAACTCATTCACTGTAACGTCGACGTGCAGGATGATGCAGGTGGTCAACTTCACCGTCACCCTGGGCGCGCACGAGATCAACAACCCCGATGAGGGCCACGTCACCATCGACGTCGACATGGACAAGGTCTTCGTCAACCCGAAGTGGGGCGGCATCCTCTCCGGAAGCCTGGCCGGCGACATCGCCCTCATGAAGCTCAAGACGAAGGCTCCGCTCAGCGGTGAGTGTGGCACACTATGAGGCAGCTGGCTTCCTCGCTCCCAAAAAACCAAACGTAACTCACGAAAAGAAAACAACAACAACAACAACAACAACAACAACAACAACAACAACAAAACAACGTTCAATACAATGTTTGTCTGCATTCCTTACTCACAGACAAGATCCGCATCATCCGCCTGCCCCGCGAGGAGCAGAAGAAGGACAGCTTCTGGCGCAAGACGGTCACCATCTCCGGCTGGGGACAGGAGCACACCGGTGAGCGGGCAGGGCGGGCACTGAGTGTGGTGGCGGCCACCTGAACGCACACCGTCTGTACTGATGATCGGTTTGACTTCCTGTGCTTGTAGGCGACAAGGCCATCTCGCCGGTCCTCCGGTACACCTCCAACAAGATCGTGAGCAACTTCTACTGCAAGTTCCGTTTCTTCTTCATGATCGTCGGTGACGGCAACATCTGCATGTCCGGATGGGGCTGGAAGGGGGCCTGCCACGTGAGTACAACACACAGTGCAACTTGGCTCTGCCGTGGTCGCGCCGCCTGCCTCTCCCTCTCACGCGCCCTTCGCGTTGCAGGGCGACTCCGGCGGCCCCATGGTCATCTACGAGGACGACGGCCCCACCCTCGTCGGCGTCACCTCCTTCGGCTTCGGCCTGGCCTGCAACTGGGGATGGCCGTCCGCCTACACCAGGGTCACCACGTACCTCGACTGGGTCCAGGACACCATCAAGAACAACTAAATGCCTCATCAGCCTGTCTGATGAGAGGCGGGAGGGTTGCCGACGCACAGTATCGCGCGGGTAGCCCGTTCTGGAGGCGGGAGGGGGCCCTAACCCCCTTCCTTCCCCCTACTCGAGCAAATAAACATTTTTGTCAAATTACAACGGTATTGCTCTTCTCTTTCCACGAGTTTGCGTTCTTATCGAGCTCCAACTGGTTATTTCGACCACGGGCCGAGCTCCTGATAAGGCCCCACTCGAGAGCGGTCGCAAAGGTTGCATCCGTACTGTGTGCATGGTGACGCGATGATTCACTTGTTTTTAGCAGATGGTACCTTAAAAACCTTAAATAATATATCAGTAAATTCAAGGTGTCAGCTAGCTTTTATTCTCAATATACGGAAAAAACCAAACCAGAAAACAATTTCTGTGGCGCTGGGGAATGGTGACCGAGTGCCTGAGTGAGTATCGCGGACCCCTACCCTACCTAAAGATACTTCGCCAGTCAGGGCAGGTGACAGACCCCGTTCCTGCACAACAATACTGGACCACCGACACCGCTGTGTCCGACCCTTAACTCCTCTACGCAACTAGTACGTTAAATTACGAAATTGTAAAAGTAACAACCAGCCATAAACAAATGTCAGCTAAATATTAGAAAAAATAGAGCACAAGCCAATTTTTTAAATTTGTATCCATCTGTTTACAACATAGATTCTTGATTGAGATTTTTTTCGTACAGTGAATACTGTTAAAATGTTGTTTCGCACAACCCATTTTGCGGGGGGGAGGGGGGGGCAGCTTATGTGCTATTAAACTTTTCGAGTGCGGCTTTACTTGGTTCTGGTCTGAACTTTCCCGAGAGGAAAGAGATGGAAACTAACATACGTACGGATATGAGTAAGTAGTATATATGTTTTTAATACGTAAGAAAAGATACAACATACTCGCTAAAATAGAATTCCACTTCGACTCGACTAGATTAAACATTATTACATCTTCACTAGCAAACTTTTTCAATAAATCTGTACATAACAACATGTAATATCATATACACATACAGCAAAATAATAATCAGTCTTGTTAATTAACAGCAGCTGCCCCGCGTGCTCTTGTCACTGCTACAGTTTGGCGGGGTCAGCGTGTTGTCGCTCACCTCTCCACAGCCATCTAGGATCCGAGCCATTTCCTCCCGCCACGAAGCCTTGGGCCCGAAATAGAAGAACTTCCGCCTCACATTCTCCTCCCCCTCTTTGCATTTGGTAAAATACCCGTTGCCCGTTCTGAAAACATAGAAAGCGAAATGTGACCACCACTGCCGAGTGTGGAAAGGGCGTGACAGCTGGCCTGTTGTTAGGGCGAACCCTGCTTACCTCATGGCCTTCGACATGAATGCGTATCCGTATCCCTCTTTATTTGGATTTTGCGTCTCCTCGCCCCGCAGCCTGGCCACCTCCTCGCCGTTCTCGAAGTAGAAGAGACCGCGCTCCATGTCCTCCCAGCGGATGATGGACGGGTTGTATCTGGGTTTGAGCAGCAGGTTCAGGATGAACTTCCAGAGGCTCCCGCGGCCCGACGTCCGCTCTCCCCCTCGCGCCCTGGGCCTTCGGCGCGCCCTGGCCCGGGGCGGTATGCCGGGGGGCCTTCTGGGGCGGCCACCGCGGCGGCGGAGGGGCTCAGCGGGTGTGGCCTCTGAGGTGGCCGCCGTGGCCGTGTCCATCGGGATGAGGGCGGTTGATGGAGCGAGGGTGGGTGCTACGAACATCCTCTCCGAGGCCTCCTGCAGGATGTCATGACCACCGACACCCGAGCCCGAGCCGGGGCATTCGACTGTAACTTTATGAGGGTCAAGGCGTCAGCCATAGCCGTCAAATGTGCAGCAAACATTGAATCTTAAAAGTTTCAGTTTCCGATCGGCAAATTTCGTCGTCACTTCAGTCAGTCAGCGTTTTCTACTATCCGGCCCATCACGATCGGTTTGCAGCCGAAATAACTTCAACATATGGCACTAAATTGCCATACATGTGACCTAGAAAGGCACAGCAGTAAGAATGAAGCGGAGACTTCACGGCGAAACGCCTGCAATAATCATGAGGTATGCTCACCAGGATATGACCGAGCGAAAAGCTCCGGCCGGGCTGAACTGATCTTCCTCGTTCGAGCTATACAGAAGGGTAACCGAGCCAGTCTCGGGTAGGGGCAGGTTTGATCTAGCCTGTGAGGGTGGTGCGGACGGTCTCCCTCTCCCGTCGGAGAACTCGTCGAGGAACTTGTCGTGAACGAGAGCACCAGTCGTGCCTCCAACACGTTCCTCAATCTCCTTCCTTTTGAGGGTGCAGAGCACGGCACCGCTCGGCAACCTCAGCCGCTGGAAAACCTCCTCCGGCGTCGGGCTCAGGACGCGACGCAGCCACTGCAACACGTGGCCCTGGCTCCAGTCCCGTGGGTTTAGCAGCTGCGACTGGTCGACAATAGTCAGCGTGTCCAGGTCCCGGCCTGGGTAACAAGTAACAACCAAAAAATTGTAGTTTTTGTCTCTTACAAATGTTTCAAGTGGTGTAAAATAACATCCAGAAAAATAAAAAGTTGTGGCAACCATCTTATAATTACTTCAGGGACAACCATAAAATATGGTTGAGACAAAGATCTGCCAGTTGTGAAAACCGTATTTTTGGTTGATACACCTGTGCTATTGTTGCCTCACCCATATTTTATGGTTGTCCCTGTAGTAACCATACGCTGGTTGCTACAACTTTTCATTTTTCTGGGTGAAAGTACTAGGTGGCTGATAAACCCCGCGCACTTCTGCAGTTATATGCTGCACCGCGTTCCTACGTGTGGGTGGGTTGCCCACTGGCTAGGGCCGCGAGGCGCCGTGGGCAGAGGCGATAGGCAAGCCCGCCCGCACTCGTGCGTGCGGTACAGCATATAACTGCTGAAGGGCACGGAGTGAATCAGCCACCAGCCACCTGGTACAATCACGGGGATCGTCTTACTGATGTTGCCGATGAGTGCGGCGAGTGACGGGTCGCTCGTGAGGTGAGGGGTGTCAGTGCCCGTGAGGTCGGCCGGTGCGAGCGGAGCACGAACCCCCCCGCCGTAGAACTCGTCGAGGAACTTGTCGTGAACGAGAGCACCAGTCGTGCCTCCAACACGCTCCTCAATCTCCTTCCTCTTGAGGGTACAGAGCACGGCACCGCTCGGCAACCCCAGCCGCTGGAAGACCTCCTCCGGCGTCGGGCTCAGGACGCGACGCAGCCACTGCAACACGTGGCCCTGGCTCCAGTCCCGTGGGTTGAGCAGCTGCGACTGGTCGACGATAGTCAGCGTGCCCAGGTCCCGGCCTGGGTAACAAAATGGTATTTTGACACACACAAATGTTTCGAATGGCGTAAAAGTACAATCACGGACGTCGGTCTTACTGCTGAAGCCGTGGGCACATGTCGCGTCGCTCGGGGTGAGGCTGGGTCGGTGTACTCCAGCGCCCCTCGAACCGAGAGACACGGCTTCGAAACACTGCCTCAGCCCTACGTCGCCTTGCACGGGAGCGAGGCCTGCTTCGGCATGGCCCGTGAGTTCAAGGCTGTCCAGACAAATTGTGTCAGGTTGCGACTTCCCTTTAAGTGACTGACCTTATGTCGGAGACAGTCGCCGATCATCACCGGCGTACTGCGCGGTTTTACGAAATACACTGTAAAAAATATATCCACAGCATCAACAACTGTTAACAACAGCTTAAAACCGTTAGGAAGACAGTTCTACACTTATAAACTAAGTGTTCAACTGCTCAACACTTGTAAGTGTGCAACTGCAAGTTGAATACTTGCAAGTGTGCAACTCCGTAGTTGTATACTTTCGGTAGATGTGCACTTGCAAGTGTGCAACTCCTCGGTTGCACACTTAGAAGTGTTGAGCAGTTGAACACTTAGTTTATCAGTGTAAATAATTAAAATCTGCACTCGATCCGCCGATTTACAATGAACTTTAACAGTTTTGAACTGTCCTTTCTTACCTTAAATCGTACAATTGGTCACGAAATGTTACTGTTTTTAGACAATTAAAAATTAATTTACTAGAATTTTAAAAAAACAACATATATTTTAAAACTGTCGTCGATGCTGTGGTATATTTGTTACTGTGAGGAACGATTGTGGAGGAGTGGCGATGATAACAAAAGCTCCTGGGAAGAAACGCTCGAAACCAGAGTTGTAGCGAAAAACGACGGCACCACCGGAAAGCAAACAGAAACTTAACTGTCACCAGCTCACCTCATAGTTGGGGTCGATTTTGGGTGGTTCGGCAGGCCGGCCGCAGAGCCCCGGCTTTGATTGCACATGGCCAGCGTCTTCTGCTTGGCCGCGAGAGGCTTACTGACAGGAGAGCACTTTCGGGGCTGCTGTACCGAGCGGGCCGGCAGCTGTTTTGCATGTATCGGGCCGCGGCCGGGGCCCGGCAGCGCGACGGGACGTGGGGGCCCCTCCCCCCCCCCTCCCCGGCGCAAACGGACGTCCGCGTGGGGGGCTTCCCCGCGCCCCTGTCGCGTCTCCCCCCCCCCCTTTCTCGTGGGGCCGCAGCCAATCGCGATTGAGCAGGAAAAATGTACGGAAGGCAAACTTGCGTCACGCGTTAGCAAGCGCTGCGCCTCTGTGTGAGCGAGTGTGTGTGTATGTGTATCTGTGTGTGTGTGCCAGGGAGTTTCTGAGAAGCCGCATATCTTGCCCGCGACCCTCTCCGCGCCCAGCGGCGTGAGCAACAGAGCGATGGGGGAGAAGGGGGGGGGGGGTAGGAGCCGGTGGGAGTGATAGACGGAGGGAGGTACGGGTGGGAGTGATAGAGGGAGGGAGGCACGGCTGGGGTTGCCTCCCTCCACCTCTTCCGCTCCCCCCTCGCCCTCCGCGCCTGCAAGCCAGTGCGTAGGCAACCCATGGAGCTGCCGCGTATTCCCCCGGTACACACGAGTATTTTGAGTTCACGAGTGGCGAGTATGCGTCGTGAGTATAGGTGAGTGGGCGTGAGCTTCGGCAGCTGTTGGTTGCCTAATTTCGGTTATTGCACGGTTATTTAGGATTGTTTCGCAATATTTCGGAGTTATGTCGCGACTATTTTCCCCACTATTTCACGTCTATTTCGTGTCTTTTTCGCCCTTGTTTCACACTTTTTTCGCATTTATTTCGGGGGAAAGTGTACGAACTATTTCGCAAGTGATTTTCCTCTCGGTGATTTCGACTTTTATCGTACTAGTCAAGACTGCCGATCGCGCATAAGCAGTGGTGATCGTAACATTTGTCTCGCCCTTTAGATATAGTTTTCAGCAGTAATAACTGGGTCCCATGCTCATTACTCCTGAAATTAATTTGAACTGAATGCATTCACATTTATGTGTATATTTGCTAGGTAATAAAAATTATAAAACCAGTCGATTTATTACAATTACAAATCCTATAATTAGAACGTTAAAAATAACTACATGTCAGCAGAGTCGATTCGGCGGTCATGAACAGTCTAGGAAGGTGTTGGTTTAGGGGCTGCAAAGAAAATTACCATCAATCAGCTAGGGCGTCCCGAGTGAGAAATGAATTTTCTTCAACGTCGATTCGAAGTCGAAATCGTCGAATAAATTTCATTTTGTCACCAGAATCCACATCTTTTCGATATTTGGACGTCGATTCTCAGTTTAACCAACGTTTCTATTTCTCACACTAGGGTCGGAGGCAGGGTTGTTAACGTTACTTTTAAAATGTTGCACGTTACTCGTCACCCTGTCTCGGTAACCGTTACCGTTATTGCCTTACACAAACAAATGTAACGCGTTATCGTTTCGAACGCCGTTACTTCGTTACTCGTTTCATCGGATGTTTATTTATTATTATTTATTTATTTTTAAATCAAGATTAACTAAGTCTCACGCATGACACGTGACATCACTGGCAAAACAAAGGTGCTACGTAGTGCCTTTCTTGGGGCACTCAACACATTTTCAGTTTAGTGCCTCACAAAGACACTAAACAGGGTACTAAATTGCCCAAGAGGTGTCAAGTAGTTCCTTTGGCAGTTTTAGTGCGTTTGTAAAGGCACTAAACCCTTAGTGCCTTTTAAAGGTAGGAGTTAACACCTTTGCTTTTCCAGTGAAACGCCCGCTCACCTATGCCGGTCATGCGCACGAAATTCAAGTTATAGAACTTCAGATTGCACCTTCGACTTTCATTAAAATTTCATTTGTTTTAGAAAAAATGTGGGCAAATTAATGGAGTGAATAATTGTACGACAAATTGCCTACCTAACCTAGGGGGCGATTTAATCCGACAACTCCTCAGATCTCGCCCCTGATTTTGAGAAATCTTCCTAATCACGGAATTATATACAGGTACACGAAATTCACGCACTTTTAACCCGACTTTAAAACTAGTTACAAACACGAACCTTTTGGTTGATTTAGTCTCGTGAGGCGACTCGCCTGACGGAGACTAAATTCACCATATTAGCACGTAGTACATTTAGACATTGCACAACAAGTTTCATAAAGAAAAATACAAAAATACAGTTAGCATAGTAAATAAAGCAAGTATTTGAGACTTGCAATAGGTTATACTAAGAATACTGGGAGGAGATATTGTAACATGACTTCAGCGTACATCAACATGTTTCATCAAATTCACTTGTTTTGGCATCGCACTAAAATTTAAAAAAATAAAAAAATCTTAAGATGAAAGTAGGAATACATAGAATAAAAAACAAAATATACAAAGTCTGTGCTACAGATATGAACAAATTGATCAGTCGAAGTCCCGCACGTCGGGGTACAACCCGGTCAGTGTGCACCGCTAGGCACGCCGCAAAATAATAATAATAATTCGCTCAATTAGCTTATGGATTCGCCAATATGGCCTTGGATAAGAATATTAGCTAGGAGAGCTAAAAAAATTAGCCATAATTGGTGTCTATAAAATGAAGCTACCAGCTATGATAGCTAATATGTTAGCTCTCTTGGCTAAGAATTACCTCAGCAAGCTAATATTGTGATCCAAGGCCATACTAGCAAACGAATTTAGCTAGTTTTGCTAACTCTTTTGTTCCGTTTAAGCGGTAGAGCGAACATCAACGCTGGGTGCCTTTGTTTCTCGCCAGTTGGCCTTGGGCCCGAACTTGTAAAACAAACGACGGGGGTGTCGGATGAAAGCGCCGTTTTTGTAGGTTCTGAAACAGGATGTTGAAATTAGTTCTTAATTGGTGAGAGATCGAGCAGGAGAGAGGGTCGTCGAAGGCTCGAACGCTAACCTCATGGTTCTGGTCATCTTCTCGTAGTCCATGTCTTTCTCGCGGACCTTCTCCCGTCCCCAAAGCTCGGCCACCTTCGAGCCGTCCACGAAAGAGAAGACGCCGTCCTCCTCGTCCTCCCAGCGAATGATGGACTTGTGGTTGGGGTTCCTCAGCAGGCCCAGGATGAACTGCCACAGGCGCTTGCCCGGCTGCCCGTCCCCGGAGCCGCTGCGACGCCGCACCCTGGCCGGCGGTGCCACGCCGAGGTGCCTCTTGGGGCGGCCGCCGCGACGTCGCTCGGGGCTGGCCGGTAGGGGTGCGACCGCCGCGAGGCCCGGGGACGCGGCGACGTCCGGGATGGGACACTCCGGGACCTCCTGGTTGCCGGCGTCCGAGCCCGGCGGAGTCGGGACTGTTCAACATTCATGCCGTTACGATTGGGTGCGGTCAGTGCCGAGGGTCCGACATGACGCTCATTTACGCGCTACCAGTGGCTAATTAAAGACAATAATGCAAGGTATTATAATCCCCTCAGAAATTTACAATATGGAGCACTTGACAATCAGCAACAATCTTTCTCGACAGTCCCCGAGAATTCTCTATCGAAAGAATGTGCCCCCCCCCCCTTCGCTCCTTTCCCTTTAGGAAAGGGCCGTACAGAAACTCAGGTGTGGCGGCAGCAGCGGTGTCTTACAGTTACTGTACATTAGTGTGATAAAGGCTACTCACTGCCACATAGTTCGCCGAAGTCAGGGTAGAGGTGTGGGATGCGGGGTTCCGCTGGAGGCGACAGCGCTGCAAAGTTGCTGCTGTAAAGTTCGTCGCTGCTTTGCAAGGAGAGCCATTCGGCTTTAGGGACCCGCTGGTTGGAATCTGCACAAGACAGAAAGCGTGAAGGGTTATTCGGTACCTGGCCGCAACATTTGTAAAGAAGTGAAATTTGTCGAATATTTGTCAAAATGACGTCGAAGTGAGGACAATGTTTAAGATTAGGTAATTTGGATTGATTTTGTCGGTCTAACTGTTGTCACGGCAGTCATTCTCGATAAACAGTAGTTTTGTAATACCCAGAAAAATGATTTGCTATAGCGACCATCGTATTGATTGATGCAACATTATCGTTTGTGTGAGAACCAAAAATATGATTTCCATCACGTTGTCAATGTTGTCTCAACCATATTTTATGGTGCTCCCTGAGCCAACCATAAGATGGTTGTCATTGCTAATAATTTTTCTGTGTGAATAGACCCTTTCAGCATTAGCGGAAGTGAAGGTGAAAAACAAGGTGAAGAGAAGAATACAGGCCGACAGGCCGGTAACGAGTGCTTTAAAGCACCTAAACGTACATAATCTTCCCCACATTTTATTCAAGTGTTATGGGCACGTTAAGGCAATTCAGCCACTGTTAAAAATATTTCATGACATTTTCATCACATTACATTACTACATGTAATGAAAATGTCATGAAATATTTTTAGAGCAATATTTCCGCGGTCTGTTGTTCTTTAGCTTGTTCCTTATTTTGCGTTTTGTTGAAAGGACCCCCAGTCTGATGTCGCTCTCACAAAAACAACATGTGCAACTAACTTGCGCGCTTACCGGCATTGTCCAGGTCGAGGAAGTCCTGGCCCAGGTTGCCCGAGCCGAGGAACGAGCCGAGCTCCTCGTGGAGCGCGTCGTGGATGAGACAGCCGACCTCGGCGTCCACGACCCGCTGCGTGATCTCCTTGATGCCCAGGGTTAGGAGCGCCCTCCCGCACGGCTGCCCCAGCTGCCGGATGATGCGCTGGACCTCCCCGACGGTCCTGCTGGGTCCCAGCAGGCGCTGCAGCCACTGCGACACATACTCCTTGCTCCACTCGTTGGGGTGGCTTGGGTACACACTCGCCGGCGAGTACATGGCTGCGCGAAACAAAAGCGCCCCTCCGTTACAGACCAAGTACAAGGACTCGCAAAAGAAAACAGCTCCAGTAGCGCTGAACGCATCAAACGCGCCTCATACGCTCTTACGCCAAGTGTGTGGCATGCGAGATGATCTTTGATCTCTAGCCAGTGGAAAGGGGGATTTGCGCAAGTGTGAGACTTGGTCTAACAGTGAATGCGCCGAAAATGTGAAAATTTGTGACCTTAACGCGCCAACCAAATCGGTACTGCTGCTGGGAAACTTACAACTGATGTTCTTTCAGTTTTTAGAGGATTTCTGTGTTACTGTGTCTAAAACTAATATCACTACTGTCTAAAACGAGAAGTTTAATGCTTTACGTACCAGGACTTGAGTCCGGGCTGTGGGCGTCCCAGAAGACAGCGGAGGGGCTCATGTTGAGGAGGCAATTGGCCAGCTAAATAGAGAAAAATATAAAAAAAGAACAGAGAAAAATATTTCAGAACCATTACACATTTTATGTTGTCCATTTTCAGGAAACATTTTGATTAAACTCACACTGCTACATGTAATTACCCACTGTCAGTCAGGTGGAGGGCTTGGGGGATGTGACTACCCTGTTGATTCTTTTTATGGGAGATTTTTAAGCATAAGCGGCATATTTTGTATTGGACTCGGTATTGGATATCCTCAAAAACATGGCATTTAACGAAAAAGGGGAGTTTTTTTTTTAGAACTTTTACGACCAAGTTCCCAGTAAGTTAGCGGACTCAGCTGGCCTGTTTACTGCCTTTGGAAGGCACTATACTAAAAACATGTTTAGTGCCCCAGAAAGGCACGGCTTAGCACCTTTGTTTCACCAAAGTTACTCGAACGTCGCGCCAACTTCGGCGTATATACTTACCGGCCAGCCAGCTGATGCGTCTGCAGGCGGAGAAACACGAAAAATAAAAATCACACACACACGCGCGCGTAGTGGTACTAGTTTGCAGAGAGACGCGTTTTACGGCCGTACCGACAGGGAGCGAGGCTGCGCAGGATCTGGCCGCGCCGCGCCACCAGACGCCGGTAGATGAGGCAGTCCCGGGAGTTCCCCCCGGCCGCGTAGCACCCCCCCCCCTCCCCGGGACCCCTCCCCCGGCAGCCAATGGCGGTGGGGCTAACAGTAGCTAACAGGAAAACCGGCAAAGGCGACGCGTCAGCAACGCCGCCCGTGTGTTGTACAGCCAGGCGGGAGAGTGTTAGGGGGAGTTATCAAGTACCCTTCTATCTGTCCGTCTTTCACACGGCCCACGGCCGGCGGCGCACCTCGCCCCGATGCGCCCCAACCGTGAGCCCCCCCCACAGGACTTATCTTTGAGATATGTTGTTTATTGCGAAGTTATACTTCTACTATAAGCACACCTACAACTGCACGACTACCGAAGTTAAACACCTAACACCTGCATCTGCTAGTGTAGTACTACGGAGTTAAACAATTGCAAGTATATTCAAACCCTCAGTTGCACGCTCTACGCAGTTACACTCTATCAGTGTAGCCTCAGTGAATCTGACCCACGCAGCCTGACCTTTCCTTTCACGGCCATTAAAAGTTAAATCCAACGACAGTAGCGGGCGTGCGCCGTGCGCTGCATGTTTGGTCCTTGGGTGTCCTCTGTGCCGATGGTCGTCACCGCGCCGACCTGGGGTGACCTCGCGGGCTCCGCGGGCTTCTCTGCTGCAGGCCCCGTGCGTCAGCGTCGCCGAGGGAGCCGACTGGTCGGGGCGAGGCACGGCATCTGACCCGGACCAGAAGCTAAAACAAGTGCAAGCAATGTGTACATTACTCATTCCAACATCCAAAACCTCTGCTGGCATAGAGTCGGTTTGTGCAGGCGAATAGTACTTTCTCCTCACTGAGTAAATCCTGTGAGTCACACACGCATACACACTAACTTTTCTTCCATATTCAACCATGTGATGCTGGAGACTGTACCGGGTGATTCAGAGAAGACGCAGGTGCAGGCGGGTTTGCCTACCCGAGCTGCCCGTAAGGCTCCATAGCCCCTTGGGTAGGCAAACCCGCCCGCGCCTGCGTCTTCTCTGAATCACCCGGTACCTACCCTCTAAATTTCTCTTGAGGAAATTTGTGTTTACAAAACATAAGATAAGATCATAAGTCTTACATGTCCAAACTTACTCTTACCCCCTTTTTTCCTCCCCCGAGGAACTTTGACATGGTTCTGGTGGCCTTTCGAGGGGTCCACTAGATCGCCACCTAAAGATAGGCAATTTGAGCTGCGAAACCCCTGAATGTAAGCAACTTCCTCTACAACACCCCCTTCCCCCTCGCCCTTGAGCGTCTAAAGTTAAGCACGCGTGAGCGTTTCACGTGAGATGAGCGTCCTGGTGAGAGGCAAAACGACGCGAAAATTGACAAACACATAGATTTTTAGAGAGGAGGGACTATAAAGAGTGCAATCCTGCAAAAATATTTTCAATTTGAAGTCGTTTCGTTTAGTATATGGCACCGCACATTGCTCGTGTGAGCGCTCATCTCACGTGAAACGCTCACGCGTACTTAACTTTACACGCCCCTTAATACGCCCCTGAAGCCAGAGCTCTGCTAAACCGCGCTCGGCTTGCTCATAGGCGGGCTAGTCGGTGAAACGCGAGCGCGCGTTGACAAAGCTCTGGCAGTTATTTGTCGCAACGATCAGTAAAATAAAAAAAGTATAAGGCACTAAGTAAAATACAAACAAAACGTGTAAACGTATATGGAAACATAGTCTGATTTCTTCAACTTCCTGAACTTTTCACCTTAAAATCGGCAACGTATAACATTTAACGTATGATAGAATTTTGTTGTGATTTTTGAAAAAAAAAAATTGGCAGTAAGAGTGGGGTTTGGAAAGAATCCGTCACCCTATCAGAGGTGGCACTTCAAGGGTAACTGCGGTTTGGAGGTGAAACAAAAAAACAATTGACGGTTTTCGAAACGAATAAGTCGCCGTGATTGTGCCGCTGTGAAGATGCCACGTTCAGCCTTCAAGCTCTCATAGCGCCTGACAGGTAGGCAACATCTCGCTTGCAGTGCACGCGCGTACTGCGGGGCGGCCTACCCCGGGACTCACAGGCGCCGATGCAAGGGTAAATTACTTGGCTTTGGGCTCGGCTATGATAGATTGATGACAAATTGACGGAGCG